ACACTTCCCATGATTTACCATCCAACTCCTTTATTTTGTTATCTTCTATACAATCTTCAAGGTGTGCCTGCTCCAGGAAGCTTTTCTGACCTTCTGCCCCATGCACAAGCTGCATTAGTGTCCTACTTTTAATATTCATTGCTTACCCCACTCATAACACTCACTGCACTTTCTCTCTCACTGAATTCTCAGCCCTTTAAAGGAAAAGACTGGGTCACCACTGGGCACCTAATGGTGGTTCCTGGAACATAGCTGGTATCAATAAACGTTTGCTGAGTGAAAGCCTAGTTGAATCCCAACCCCTTTATACCTAGGAAATGCCCCCTGAGCAAAGTGCCTTTCTGGCCAGAAGCTGTTAGGGCCTCCTTCTCAAAAACAAAAGGGAAGAAGAAACTCAGAGTACAGCCAGGTTCTGAGCACTACATCCATCAGCCCTACCTCTGCCCTCATGATTCCCTGTCCCTGAAAGAAATACCCTGACTTCATGGTCATGTTCATCCCAGGATGTCTAGGCTTGCTGGCACCAGGGTGAAGAGAGTGGGTCAGCAAGGAAAAGGAAGCATGTGACCTTATATGGGTGGGTTTTCCTAGAAGGCAAGCAGCCACTCAGCATGGAGCTGGAGTAGATGACTGGCTCCTGTATATTTTTTCCCCTAGGGAACAGGGAGAACAGAGAAGATCACACCCCACCCAGCAGCCCTGTTGCCCCGGACAGTCCCCAGGATTCATGATAAGAAAGTAGAAGCCAGGAAAAGAGTATCATTTTTGTTTTAACAGCGTTATTGAACTAAAATTCACATACCATACAATTTATACATTTAAAATGTTCAATTCAGTGGCTTTTATTGTATTCACAGTTATGCATCCATCACCACAATCAATTTTAGAACATTTTCATTACCTCCCAAAAGAAACCCCCAAACCCCTTAGCCATCATTCCCTAATCACTTCCCCTCTAACGCTAGGTAGCCACTAATCTACTTTCTATCTGTATACTATCTATTTTGGACAATGCACTATGTGGTCCTATGTGACTGACTTTTTAATCTCAGTCTAATGTTTTCAAGGCTCAGAAATGAGTGGCTTTGATCACTGAGAAGGGACAGAAAGAACCCAACTATCTGGGATAGAGGAAAGACTTCACACAGTGAGTCCAGAGGCTGGCCCTTGCTCTGCCATGTGGCTTCCTGCCAGTCATTCAATTGTGCCCATCCTAGCTCTAACTTTCTATACCTTCTACAGCTAAATGTATAGCATAGTTGAAGAGGAAGTCTAGACATTAGGTAGATTCTGTTCTTGAAGTGTCTCCTTTTCCAGGGTCTTGGAAAACCAGGGGAAAAATGTGGGATTTTTTTTCCTGAAATGATCTTGGGCCAGGACAATTAGGATTCAGAGGCCTTGGGCCAGGCCAAGGATGCTAAGATTCCAAACATTGGAGGGGTAACCTTCTTTCTGATCTCCTTGTCAGGGAAAAAGAAGAAGGATGTCCGTGCTGATGAAATGGCTACAGAGACAGAGAACACCCTGGTGTAGGGTCTGCCATGAGGGAGGAGAAAAACCGACACCTGGATCATGAGGAACTCCACTGCCCAGGCCTATGATGGTCTGGGACATAGCTGGTGCCTGAAAATGATCATGGTCCTCGTACCTCCCATGAGACTCCATCTCACTTCCCAGGAGCATCCTGCGCAGCCAACTCACTGGAAAGACAGAAAACACCAGCATGATCTTCCACATCTGTTCCCTCCCGTCTCCCCTCACTGCATGTCCTGGCTCTGCTCTGGGCAAGATAGGCCTATGAGGATGTTCCCTAAAGCACACTAGACATTCTCCAGGACCCACAAGGACAATGATTATCCAGGGCATTCACTCTCTACCACTGTTTATGAAGTATTGTTATGGACTGAATTTGTCCCCTCAAAATTCATATGTTGAAGACCTATCCCCCAATATCTCAGAATGTAACTATTTGGAGATAGGACCTTTAAAGAGATAATAAAGTTTAAATGAAGTCATTGAGATGGGGCCCTACCAGGACCCACAAGGACAATGATTATCCAGGGCATTCACTCTCTACCACTGTTTATGAAGTATTGTTATGGACTGAATTTGTCCCCTCAAAATTCATATGTTGAAGACCTATCCCCCAATATCTCAGAATGTAACTATTTGGAGATAGGACCTTTAAAGAGATAATAAAGTTTAAATGAAGTCATTGAGATGGGTTTAAATGAGTCATAAAGTTTAAATGAGTCATCCAATATGCTTGGTGTCCTTATAAGAAGAAGGAAAGACACAAGGGATGCACACACACACAGTGAAATGGCCATGGAAAAACACAGAGAAAAGGAAGCCACTTATAAGCCAAGAAGAGAGGCTTCGGGAGAAACCAAACCTGCTGACACTCGATCTTGAACTTCTAGCCTCTAGAACTGTAAGAAAATAAATCTCTATTGCTTAAGCCACGAGTCTGTGGTATCTTGTTATGGCAGCCCTAGCAGACTAATACAAGTATTAACCAACTAGCACCAAGTGATTGCCTCTAGACTGAGTTCCAGGCTCTAAAATATTCTAGACTTTAAACTAATTATGACTCTCTGAATCACCCACTTTCAGTCCTAGCCCCAACTCCAGCTTCAGCCCCAGTCCTAGTTTGAGACCCTGATGCTTCCTGATGACCAAGACATTATCATAAGAAAAGGTCTAGAAACAGGTAAAGGTGAGAGTTGAGGGACAAGGATTTCTCTCTCTGGCCTGAAAGACTTTCAGGTTATTTGAGCTAATGGCCCTCAAAGGTAATTTGCAGTTATAGACAATGAAGAGATGGTTAATATCCCCTGTTTGGGATGAGTGCCATTTTACAGGTAACACCTTTTTAATAGACAGCTTCACCATCTCTGCTTGCCATCATGCCTCCTGCAGGATCGGGTCTGGGGCGGGGTGGGGCAGGAGTTGTGGGTGTTGAAAGTCTCTCCTCACTATCTAGCACAGTTGCCAGGACAAAAGATATTAAATTTTCCCCAGCCATCAGGAAGTTCTTGAACAACTTTAAGAAAAGCAGCTCAGCTCAGGATGAGTGTCTCTGCCTGAGGCTGAGAGAGAGAAGAAACAGGAAAAGCTAAGTAGTAGGAAAATTGTGAAGGAGAAAAGTATGGAGGCATCCTGGAATCTGGCACACTCATTTTCAGATTCAAGTGCAGAAGATTCACCCAAGTTGGGGGTGGGGAGTGGTTCAAAGATCCTACCTCTCAATGGGTCAAGGTCACCTTGGAAAAAAATAAAACATTTTGAATGGAAGTGATTATTGTGTCCATCTTTGGAAAATTCTATCTGCCACCAAGTGATTCTGTCTAGAAAAGCTCTGGAGTATTGTCACTGGAAAAAACTTGATGAGTTAAATTTATACTTAGGGATTAGTAGATGATAATATTCATAGTTACTCCCTCCCAGTTGTAATTGGCTGTTTTCTGGGACCTCACTCAAGCTTTGATAGTAGAGAGGAAGTAAGCATTGAATGAACAGGAGTAAGTTTTAAAGTATTTTCCCAGGGTGGCTTCAATCACTCCACCAAGGATGTCAGTTCTTTCCAATGATCTTCCCTCTTCTCCCCAGTTCCTGGGCAGTCGTTCCACCTTGGACAAATGGTCAACCCAAATGACCTCCAGATTCATATCACCACTCCTCTACTTGACCAGTCCCAGAATTTCTCTGCCTGCTGGCTTTGCTCAGAGGTCCCTTGCTGGTCACCTGGTTTTGCCTAATGCTCATGCCTTTCTTGCACCTGCTTCTCTCCCATCAGCTTCCCTCAAGTCTACCTGAACATATACATGGCCACCCAACCTGTCAGTTTGTATTGCCCCCACCTGACACCTAGAGACATTCCCCATGCTTGGTCAGTGAATATGCAAAACTGGCCTCAGTCCCTAAAGTGATGTGAAAGAGAAAGCCCAGGTTCTAGCAATGGGCCATGGTGGTTGTATGGGAGAAACACATACACACATACTCCACGCCCCAGGGTCCCACCTCAAATCAGAGCAGTTCTGGCTGGAGTGGGCCTCACAGTTCTCCCTTCACAAAGTAACTCATAGTGACCTCATTTAGTCAGTAGTTTTGTAGTGTGGTGCATAAATTGATGTTCCCATCCCCAATGACTCATTTGCCAACTAGTGAACTAATTAACCCTCCACTGAAAAATTAAAAGTGCTCTGTGAGAACAATATTTTGTTAACAAGCATTGATATTGATGCTTTAAAAGTCACAAAAGAACAAGTATTGATTGAGGGTCCAGCATGTTCTGGGTACACTTCAAGGCACTAAGGAATCAGCAGTGAACAAAGCAATGACCTTCCTTTGTAGAGTTTATATTCTAGATAATAGATAAGCAAGTTGGTATAGGCCAGTTTTTGATAGGTTCTATTAAGAAAGATAAGCAGAGTAAAAGGCTAGAGAATGATGTGTTGGGAAAGAGGGGTTCATTTTAGAAAAGGCGATCAGAGAACATCTCCTGATGAGGTGACATCAGAACAGAAACCCAGTGAAACAGAGTGAGCCATGTAGTGTCTGGGCAGAGTGTTCCAGGGACCAGAAAATGTAAAAGATTGAGAACATGACTGGTGTTTATGAAGACTAGAGTGCAGGCCAGGGTGGCTGGGTCAAAACAAAGAAATGAGTTTATTTTTGTTAATTTATTACTATTTTGTTTTATATTCCACATATGCATGAAATCATATGAATTTTGTCCTTTTCTGAGTTATTTCACTTAGCATAATATCCTTGAAATCCATCCACATTGTTGTGAATAGCAATATTTCATCATTTTTTATGGCTGAGCAGTATTCCATCGTACATATGTACCACATCTTCTTTATCCACTTGTCTATCGATGGATACTTAAGTTGTTTCCATATCTTCTTGCCTATTATAAGTAATACTGCAATGAACATTGGGATATGTGTATCTTTTAGAGTTAGTGTTCCCATACTCTTCAGATAAATACCCAGGAGTGGAATTGCTGGGCCATATGGTGGTTCTGTTCTTAACTTTTTGAGAAACCTACGAACTGCTTTCCATAGTGGCTGCCCTAATTCACAATCCCACCAGCAGTGTATGAGAGTTCCCTTTCTCCACATCCTAGCTAGCCAACATTTGTTATTTCTTGTCTTATTGATAATAACCATTCTAACAGGTATGAGGTGGTATCTCATTGTGGTTTTGATTTGCATTTCCCTAATAATTACTGATGTTAAGCATCTTTTCACATGCCTGCTGGCCACCTCTATGTCCTCTCAGGGAAAATGTCTATACAGATTCTTTGCCCATTTTTCAATTGAGTCGTTTGGTTTTTTTGTTTTTGAGTTGTTTGAGTTCTTTATATATTTTGAATATTAACCCCTGATCAGAAATATCATTTGCAAATATTTTCTCCCATTCTGTTGGTTGGCTTTTTGTTTAAAACAAAATGTAACAAACAAACGAACAAAACAACACAAAAAACAAACTCATAGATACAGACAACCGATTGGTGGTTACCAGAGGGGATGGGAGAAAAGTGAGATGAGTAAAGGAATCGAATATATGGTGATGGATGGAAACCAGACTTTTGGTGGTGAGAATACAATAGAGTATATAGATATTGAATTATAATGGTGTACACCTAAAATTTATGTAATGTTATTAAGCAATGTTAAGTCAATTGAAAATAAATAAATAAAATAAAATAAATAAGGGAGTGAGAGTGTAAGGATTGGGTCAGAGCGATGGCCTGGGGCCACAGTACATGGAACCTTGTGGTCTTCAGAATACCCCTTCCCTGGGGTGAGGGTGGCCAGAAGAGTGCCTCCCCTCCACAACCCCATCTGTGGGGGATCTCAGGTTCTTCCCATGATGACATGTGCACCATTATTTCCAGTAGATTCATGGTCAGACCAAAATCCTCTCCAAATCTGCTTTTGCTTTTCCTTGTTTTCACTCTATTTCCCTTAAGCAAGATCCTCTGTACCTGTCCTTCTGTGCAAAGGACAGATATAAGAACTGCTGGGGCAAAGGGGTCATGTGACATGATGTCAAAGAATGGAGAAGGGGCATAGCAAAAGAAAAGAATTAGAAGGGCATTTTTTTCATCAATAGAGACAAGAGCACCCAAAGCCTTGTTTAAAAACAGCAGCTGCACATAAAAAGAGATGAAATACTGCCATTTGCAACAACATGGATGGACCTTGAAATAATCATACTAAAAGCAAAATACTCCAGACAGAAAAAGTTGAAAATCACAAGATATCGCTTATATGTGGGATATAAATCTAAAAGCAACAAATGAACAGGACAAACAAACAGAGACACATGGACATAGACAATGGACTAGTGGTTACCAGAGGATAGGGGTGAAGGAGAAAGGAGGAGGTGTACAGAGCAGGGGAGATTTAAATAAAACATTTCTTCAATTAAATAGATAGATAGATAGATAGATAGATAGATAGATAGATAGATAGATAGATAGATAGATAGATAGATATTTTAAAAATGAAAGAAAATAAAAACAGTGAC